GCACCTTGAGTGGAAACTCGGTTAACACCATTATCGTATGGGCATAAAAATAGTGTGCCAGTTTTCTGGAAGCCATCATCAGGGCCAGGGCTAATTTCTCTAGCGGCAGATATCTCGATTCAGCAGGGAGCAAGGTCTTGCTTATGTAAAAGATGGGAAGGTGCTGGGTGCCTTCAGCACGGACCAAAACCACGCTCACCGCATGTTGAGAGACCGCTAAGTAGAGATACAATTCTTCGCCCGGCTGTGGTGTAACCAGGATAAGGGCTGAGGACAGGTACACTTTTAGATCCGCCAGCGCACGGTCACATTCGTCGTCCCAGAAGAACTTGGCCTTCAAAGTTTTGAATAAGGGCTTGTAACGATCTGAGGACCGGCTTATAAATCTATTCAGCGCGGCTGCCATCCTGGCGAGATGTTGCACGTCCTTCGTGGAGTTTGGTCGCTCCAGCTCTTGTATTGCCTTGATTTGGGATGGGTCGGCTTCCATCCCTCGGTTCGTGACCAGAAAACCCAGAAACTTTCCAGTGCCGACTCCGAAGGCGTACTTAGAGGCATTCAAGCGAAGCTTGTGATATTTTAGTGTAGCGAACATCTCTGCTAGGTCGGCGAGGTGTTGAGACTTTTCCTTGCTCTTTACCACCATATCATCTTTGTAAGCCTCCATAGTGCGTCCCAGAAGGGGAGCGAACATTTTGGTTACCATCCTTTGAAAAGTTGCCACAGTGTTTTTTAGTCCGAACGGCATGACTTTGTAACAATACAGGCCCATCGGTGTGGTGAATGAAGTGATCTCTCGGTCTAGTTTATACATGGCTATCTGGTGGTAGCCGCGGTGTGATAACCCTCACCACTGATTACTGTTAAACTGAGACTGATTATGATAATTGACTGGATTGACTGAAATCCTGAACTAATTGATTGTCTGTATCTGTTTAAGTGCATTTCTATCTGTTCGACTGTTAAACTATCTGTTCATGTTTTATGTTTGAACTGCAAATTGAAGGCCTTATCGGCGGCCGAACCAGAAATTGATTAGCATTATGTGCTAATTAGAATTTATGGGATTTTATGGTGTATTTATCTGAAATATGATTTGGTATGATTTAATTGGATTAAAATAAGTTAAATTACACAAGTTGCCTAATTTACCATATTGCCATGTTAGTGAACCATTTAGGCAATACATATTGAGGCTTGAATACACTTAGGCAAAACATTTCCTCAGCCATTTCCTTAGACTCAAACCGACCAAGAGAGAAGAGAGGGAGAGAGTGAGAGGAATTGAGTTTCATCTTGTGAATTGCTTGGTGAATTAAAGAAATTGAAGGTTGATTTCATAGTTGAACTTCCTACACTTGATATTCAAGGTCTAAGGTAGAGAATCCACCTTCTTAAACTTGTCTTTAAGTTAGTTCTTGCTTGATTCTTGTTATATTGAAAATTGGAGTCAAAATTAGCTTAATATGTTGAATTGAGTAGGAATTCATGCATGCATGTTGCCATTCTTGAGTTTTGAAGTTAATGTTCATGAAATTCCACATGCATGTTCATATTTTTGCAATGGACCATGAATTCATCTTGTCTTTGAGGAAACTGGCTCTTTGGAGCAAGTATTTAAAGCCTTGGAGTTGTTTAAATCCATGCATGTTACATTTAAAGTATGTTCATGAAAATTGGTTTGAAATTGGATTTAATTGAACTACCTTTGGGCTTTGATTTCTCAAATTGATCTTTGAAACATGTTATATTATGAGTTTTGAAGTGTTTTCTAGAAAATTAGCCCAAGAGAATCGAATTTGATGCATTGAAACTTGTTTTTGAGCTTGAGGTTCAAATCTGAAAATTCCAGATTTTGGACTCACGCTCGAGCGGAATGACTGGCGCTCGAGCGTGAAATTCGTGCATCCAGCACTTTATAATGTTTTCAAGTCCGCTCAAGCGGGATATTGGATGCTCGAGCGAGGACTTATGTCACACGCTCGAGCGGGTATCGAGCGCCCAATCGAGTGTGATTTTCACACATCCAGTACTTTTGGCATGTTTTACAGTTCGCTCGAGCGGGATAACTCACGCTCGAGCGGAGTATTGTGTTTGCCTGTACGCTCGAGCGGGTAAAACCACGCTCGAGCGGGACCTCTGTTTTCTGAAAATTCTGAAAATGTTTTTAAAGTGCATCTTTGTATCCTCATTCCATTTTAGCCATTCTTAGGCCTAGTTTAAGGTATCTTAATGAGGATATTGATGTAGAACCACATCGAGTCAAGATAGGGATTAAGTTACTATTTTTCCAACTGTGTAGCTTAGTGTGTGTGTTCACTCTGTAACTGTGTAGGGTTGGCATCTTCTACTTGCTTTATGACCAAACCCACCTTGATCGGCAAGATGATCTTTCCCACCGGCCACTCTGGCTGAGAGTCAAAGCCAACCAAAGGAGACGTCGCAGGGGCCAAGTCCTTGTCCTCCAACTTCATTTGCTTGAACACATTGTAATACATGATTTCGACCGAACTCTCCTAGTCAATCAAGATCCTTTTGATGTCAAAGTCCTTGACGCAAAGAGTCACTACTAGGGCATCATTGTGGGGCATCTGAATTCTCTCCAAGTCCTTACTGGAAAAGGTGAGGATATCCTTCTCTTCGGACTTTCCTTTCTTCATAGCGGACTGAACGGAGAGCACTTCCCTCATGTGCTCGGCTTTCTTAATCATCCCTCTCAGCTTGCAGACCCTTGCCGGTTCAATGATGCCATGGATGACATTGATTACGCCTTGGGGCGCTGCCTCCAGCGCGGCCGGGTCGTTTGGCTCGGTTTGCTTCGGCGGGGCGGCTTTCATACCCCCATCTATGTACTGGTCCAAATGTCCTGCTGCCACCAACTCCTCCAAATGTTGTTTGAGCGGCAAGCAATCCTCCGTTCGGTGCCCCCATTCCTCATGGAAGGTGCAGCGATACCTTGAGTTGAAGCCTTTCTGTGCATTTCCCAACTTTGCCGGCCATCGGACGAAGGGCTCACCTCGGATTTCACTCAGGATGTGGTAAATGGGGATCTTAAAGACCGTGGTGATACCAGTTCGCGCCTTCAATTTCCTCTTGGCGTCTTTCTCTTCATCACGGGGAGCATTAGCTCGGTTGTTTCTGCAACCTTTGTTTCTATCATTGCGGTTTGAGTTACAACGTTGATCTTTTGACCGGTCGTTTGGGCGGTTGTCCTCCTGCCTGACCGAGTGAACCTTCCCCGCCACTCTTCTATCCGCCGCGACTGGATTAGCCTTCTCGATCGTAGAGGCGGCATCATCCTCTACACGAAAACTGTTTTCGTTACTGTAAGGACATTCATTCTTAACCTCTTTACACATTATGTTATTTACTGGGTTTTAGCTCACTGCTCATATATATATGTAGGTGTACATACACCGGACCGTTGCTAGAAGCATCAGGGTAAACTCCAATTTTGCCAAAGCCAACCACTGTGCCTCACTGCGAGGTTCCAAGTCCTTCAAGTCAGGGCTTTTGGGGTGTTTTAGTTTCCTTTTTTTTTGTATCCATTTGTAAATTACTGTATAAACTGAATGGTTGTACTGTACTGTTTTAATTAGGGATTAAGTCCCTGTCCTGAATGATTGTATATATTGTACATACTGTTTTGGTACTGATTGTATATATGTATATGATATGAAAAGTCTTTTTGCATATAGACTGTCACAGCTCATTAGACATATTTTAATTACTGTATTGGCTTCCGCCAGCCCCTGTACTCTGAATTACTGTTTTACTGTTAAGCAGGCCTTCGGTAATCTCGAATTATTGGCCGGTTACGGTGCTAAACCCATAGGGGCGGGTTTGGGTCGTGACACGCGATATGCGTCCAGGAAGTTGAATCTCTGATGGCCAGCGGTCAGGTCCACCAGCTGGTCGATTCGTGGGAGGGAGAAGCTATCCTTTGGGCATGCACGGTTAACTATTTTATAATCGACACATACCCGCCACTTGCCGTTCTTTTTTGGAACCACCACCGTGTTGGATATCCATCGGGGGTATTGCACTTCTTCTATTGCCCCTGTTTCCAACAAGTTCTTGACTTCTTCCGCCACCACCTCAGCACGGTGCAAGGCCGAGCGGCGTGTCCTCTGGATAACCGACTGTGCCTTAGGGAAGACATTCAACTGATGGCAAATGAAGCTAGGGTCGACGCCAGGCATATCGTAAGGCGTCTACGTAAAGGCTTCCATATTGGAAATCAGAAAGTCAACGTACTCATGTCGCTCGGCGCTGGACAGAGATGAGCCCAAAAGAAAAAACTTGTTGGGGTCATTCTCGTCTATGCGCACCTCCACCAAATCTTCAACTAATTTCTCTTCGGCCTTTCTCCCCACGTCTTCCAAGACCTTCTTTCCCTCCGGTCCCTCTATCATCTGAACGAACCCTTTGGCGGTTCGGCTGCCATTCACCACAACGAAATACTGTTTCGCCATCACCTGGTCTCCCCGAACCTCTTCTATTAGCCCGGTTGGCGTCGGGAAGTGCAGAACCTGATGGTAGGTTGATGCTACGACTTACATGGCGTGCAACCAGTCCCTGCCCAAGATTAAGTTGTAGGTGGATAGGACCTTGAGCACCCAGAATTCTACTTGCTTTATGACCAAACCCACCTTGATCGGCAAGATGATCTTTCCCACCGGCCACTCTGGCTGAGAGTCAAAGCCAACCAAAGGAGACGTCGCAGGGGCCAAGTCCTTGTCCTCCAACTTCATTTGCTTGAACACATTGTAATACATGATTTCGACCGAACTCTCCTAGTCAATCAAGATCCTTTTGATGTCAAAGTCCTTGACGCAAAGAGTCACTACTAGGGCATCATTGTGGGGCATCTGAATTCTCTCCAAGTCCTTACTGGAAAAGGTGAGGATATCCTTCTCTTCGGACTTTCCTTTCTTCATAGCGGACTGAACGGAGAGCACTTCCCTCATGTGCTCGGCTTTCTTAATCATCCCTCTCAGCTAGCAAACCCTTGTTGGTTCAATGATGCCATGGATGACATTGATTACGCCTTGGGGCCCTGTCTGCAGGGCAGCCAGGCCATTTGGCTTAGTTTGCCCAGGTGGGGCGGCTTTCATACCCCCATCTATGTACTGGTCCAAATGTCCTGCTGCCACCAACTCCTCCAAATGTTGTTTGAGCGGCAAGCAATCCTCCGTTCGGTGCCCCCATTCCTCATGGAAGGTGCAGCGATACCTTGAGTTGAAGCCTTTCTGTGCATTTCCCAACTTTGCCGGCCATCGGACGAAGGGCTCACCTCGGATTTCACTCAGGATGTGGTAAATGGGGATCTTAAAGACCGTGGTGATACCAGTTCGCGCCTTCAATTTCCTCTTGGCGTCTTTCTCTTCATCACGGGGAGCATTAGCTCGGTTGTTTCTGCAACCTTTGTTTCTATCATTGCGGTTTGAGTTACAACGTTGATCTTTTGACCGGTCGTTTGGGCGGTTGTCCTCCTGCCTGACCGAGTGAACCTTCCCCGCCACTCTTCTATCCGCCGCGACTGGATTAGCCTTCTCGATCGTAGAGGCGGCATCATCCTCCACACGAATGTGTTCATTGATCCGTTGCATCAAGGATTCCATGGTTGTGGGCTGGTGCATTGTAAGCGAATCTCGCAGCCTATGACCGACTGGGAGACCTCGCTTGTATTGAGTAATCGCCAGATTGGTGGGGTAGTCAAGGATCTCATTGTAAGTTTCCCAGTACTTCGCATTATACGCCTTCAACGAACCTCCAGACTCCATCTTGACACCAGGAGATGGTCGACCTCCTTTGGTGTTCGAGTGTTGGTTTTGAATCTGGTGACGAAGGCCTCTGCTAATTGCTGCCACCCCTCGATACTCCCCTCCGGAAGCCTTTTGAACCATTTCAGGCCTAGTTCTCCCAAGCTTGTCGGGAATATGAGGCACATCAAGGCATCATTGCGCCAGTGTCTAGCCGTTACTTGCCGGTAATGACTCACGTGCATGTACGGATCCGTTCTACCGTCGTAGAAGGTGAACTTAGGCTGGTGGAATCCGGCAGAGAGTGGTGTACTCTCGATTTCTGGAGACAGTAGCGTAGTTATAAGTCTCGCCAGCTCTTTGTCTACAAGCCCTGGGGCCACTATTCTGGGCGCTAGCATTGCCACTTCCTCATTACACCAGGTTTGAAAACTTAGCCTCTACAACGCCGGCAATCTCTGAGTCTCTTTACGGCATGCCCTCTCCTCCAACATATCCCTCAGGTCTCTGGAATGGGCAAAAAAAGAGTATCGCGACGCCGACGATGGGCGCGATGGACGATGGGTGCTGTTGCGAGTGAGGGATTTGCCCTCCTGTGGATTGGAGTCCCCAACCCCATAGCTCCTGGTGATAGAAAGAGAATGTGTCATTCCTTGGCGGCGACTGCCAGAACGAGAAGACGGGGTGCGCTCACTGAGGTTATCCTCTCCAGCAACACCCTTCTCCTTGATCTGGCGCTTCAGCACCTCTATTTCAGCCGCCATCTTGCGAATGAGGGCGTCCTGATCTTTGAGTTTGTGCTCCAGGCACTGTGCATGCGAATCCCCCCACCGATGACGGCCCTCTAGACTCTTCGAGCGATCAGTACTCCTTGCACGTTTGTCTTGCGCACTTCTCGAAGAGGTCTCTAGGCCCGCCATGGCTGGAATGTTTGAGGGGGCTTCTCTCCAAGACGACAGACAGTGGAGTTTCGTCATTGTTAGCCATGGAAACGATCGAAAAAGCTTGAAGAGCAAGGCTTGTGTATCAAACTCTTCCCACAGACGGCGCCAATTGTACGGGGGTGAAATATCCTTTGCTTTCCGTACTCCTATAACTCAAGCTTCACGTAACGACGTCTGACCTGGAAACAGAGAAATGGTGAGCTGCCCGGCGGTGTGTTGCCAGATAGACCCTCCGACGATCAAGTCAGATCACTTGAGGAAGAAGAATACTGTTTTAGAGAGAGAGAGTCGTTCAGACGGCATACCTCCAACGTTCCCCTTCTTTCCTTTTTCTGGGCTGGCCATGCAGCCTCAGGGATTATGCGCGCACTACTTCTGCTGTCCTTTCCTGGACAGGTGGCAGTGCTCGTCTCTCACCACCATACGTGTGTAAAGGCCAAAACCTCCAAACAATATATGCAGAACTGCCAAGCGGTATTAACGCGTGCTTGGAGCGGGTTTCCCCTCCACCACATCATTGGTCTAGATGGCACACTCAACCGGGATATCATGACTGACCTATCCCTTGAAGAAACACAACTACGATCAATATGGCCGAGCTGTAAGAAGTCAGTTCTTCCAGATTGACTGGCCGTGAGGCGCACCGGCCTTCGCCCCACTCTAAATTCATTCCAGGCTATGCTTAGCGCGGTTCCGATCAGGAACACGAATGCCTAGCCGAACGCCTAGCCGAATCACAGCTCGATCGGGAACACGCATGACCCCATGCTCCGGTCGACTGATCTAGCTCGGCCCGGCGCGACGGCCCATGGAACCGTTCCAATCAAGCAAACGATGTGACTCGGCCACCCGCTATAACCTGCGTTACCGTAGCTCGACCGTACTTGTCCGGCGCAAATCTCCCTCTCAGCTGCTGTTATTTTTGTGTGGTGCTGGTGTTGTGTGATGCTATGTTGAAGTCTGCATAGTTGATGATGCTGCTGTTTGATAGTCAAGGTCATGATTTGGTGCTGGTCTGCTATGCTCTGTTGTCTAGGGTTTTTTTGCAACAGGTCTTATTTTGTTAAGGCCTTATTTTGCCTTAGAAATGGTAGAATGGCTGATTGGCTAAGTTAGGATATTGTGTGGGTTGGTCTGTCATAGCTGAATGGCTAAATAGTATAGTATGGGCTTTTTGGTGTGTTGTTGTGTTGGTTGGTCTCTCATTAACTCTGGGAGTGCTAACAAATGATAGGATGGGTTTTTTGGTGCCAACCTAGTTGGGATGATTTAGCTCATTATGATGCTTTTACACTCCTCTTTTCTTTATTGATGTAATTTGCTTTGTACTTTATACTTGTTTATTCTATCAATAAATATTCTTTTTTGCCGATAAAAAAAAATGTCTGTGAAATTTGGAATCCCTAATAGGCAAATTCCTTACAAGGTGGGTTTTATTTGTTTTTTAGTCTAATCGTGTCTCTTATCGGCAAAACAAATGCCACCTTATAGTATTAGTGATTGTTAAAATATTATTTACATAGTAACAACATTTTAAATTGTATTAAAAAAAGATTATAAAATATACTTAATTGCATTGTGATTTGTCGGTTAGCCCAAATGCATTGTGATTTGATTAAGGAAAATGTTATGGATTCTAAAAAATTTACTAAATTTACTGTTAAACCTCTCATATAAGTGTGAAATCCACACAAACTTACACGTGTGTAGGTCCTACACTCATATAAAAAATTTGATAAAAAATTTAATAAATTATTTTGAATTTCCAACATAACTCTTAGATTAATGAAAGTGACATCGTTTCAAAGGCAAAAAGGAGAAGCAATGGTCCATATTATAAGGTAAATAAAATTAATATTATATTTACAAATCAATTAAAGTACTATTTATTAGAAGGTGTATATGTGTTGTTTTGTGGGCACCATCATTCGCTTTTTTGTTTTTTTCATTTTGGGTTAGACTTGCGTGTTTGTTTTCTACTTCTATATTATGTTAATTATAAAGGTAATTTACCAAACACACCCTTTAAAAGAAATGTTAACTAAACTAACTTGTCTCACACTAAAGTCATAAATAAAAACACCATTATTTATTATAAGTAATATCATATTGGGACATAATTAAAAGATCGAAATACTATTATGAATCATAATAAAAAAATACCACTATGAATAATTTTTATAAATATTACTACAAACTCAGCCTTATCAATTCAGAATCTTTATCTTATAGTTTAAATTTATTTTATACATGGACCTCACACTACACAAATTCAATTACAATTATACAATCTCATTTGGGGAAGTTAAGGGTAGTATCTAGAATTATTCAATTTTTATACTACATTTAGTAACAAATATCAATTCACTCGCTATAGATTGGCGGAGGATTCATAAATTGGACCGATTAATTCAGAAGACCAATCCCACTATCTACTAATGGGAGATTCAATTACAGTCAAGACAAATGCCATCGTCCACTAGCTGAAGATTTAATTAAAGTTAAAACAAAAACCCGTATATAAACTGACTTCAATAAATTTTTTACGCTTAAAAAATTTTGAACTTAAAATCTTAAAAGGTGTAAACCCTAAATTCAAGTGTTAACCACCAAACTAATCTCTTGCGGTTCTCCTTATAAATTTTACATCATAAAATGACAAAGCTCATGTTAAAAAAGGAACCCAATTGTTAGCACCATAAATATGCAATTTTATTTTTTATATAATTGTAGGACACGTGGCATCCTCTTATTCATTTGGAAGTTAAAAGAAGTTATGGAGATGATGGAGAATATGAAGAACAAAGTGGATGAGTGGAAGGACACATGGCAAGACAAGAATGAAGATGGGAGAAATGGGTAGTTACTAAGTAGTCATTGCTGTATTTTTTTCTCTATAAATAGCCATTAATGGCTACATTGTAATGATCCAGAATTCATAATCAAAGACAATTGATTTCAATATTTCTTGTCATTTTTCTTATCTTAGGAGTAGTTTAACATAGATTTATATTTCGAAGCATTTATTTTCAGCATTTCCATTTCGAAGCATTTTATGCACTTCCTTTTCGAAACATAGGAGTAGAGGTAAGTAATTATTACTTTGATTGTTCACTCAATCATCTTTCTCCATCCCTTTTTCTTCTTTTACTTTTTCTTTTCGCTACACTTGGCAAATTTGAAGTCCTCTTCGTTGAGGCAAAAGAACCGTCAACACAATCGCTTGATAATTGGCTTGAATTTAATCTGTAAGGATTTTTCAATCCTTGCTGGCACGCTCGCATTTATGATATTTTCCTTCGTAGGAAAAATAAGCCAACAGGGAGACAAAAATATTTCGTCACCAATAAACTCTTCACGCTCATTTTATCTTTCTGTTAATTAGGTGACAAATATATTTTTGTCTCGGAAGGATATGTTTTGGGAGATGAAAATATTTCGTCACTAATAAATTCTCCATGTGTCGTATTGCATTTTGATTGATTGCGCGACGAATATATTTTCGTCTCATAAGGTTAAGTTGAAGGAGACGAAAATATTTCATCACCAATAAATTCTCCATCCCCACACAACGTTGTTTTTGTATTTTTGTTGATTAGCCAACGAACATATGAGTTTAAGATGAAAATATTTTATCAGTAATTATTTCTCTTTATTAAAATATCGTCAGAAACTAAGAGACACTCTCACCTTAATCACTTACTTTCACACACACACAAATACTAAAGTCATGACCCGAAAAGACACCCTCTACAAACCCTCATTTCTCTCTCGCACTTGAGTCTCCTCTTTCACAAGTATTGAAGCCGTGACTCGAGAAAACAATCTCTATAAACCATCTCTTCTATTTCGCACTGAAGCTCCTCTATTCTCTCTCACATTTAAGCCGTTTGCACATGCAAACATTATTATCTAAAAAGACATTTTGTGCAAAGCTACTATTCTTTCTCACAGTAAACCCCTCTCCACAAAAAGAAAATAATAATAATAATAATAATAATAATAATTAACCAAGGAAACAAGATATAAGAAATCTAGGATATTGTGACAAAATTTGGTGACAAAATTTTTTTTTGT